TCATTCTGCTCCAAGCAGATCCCTGCCCCATGCTGTGCTTACAGCCAGATGCCAGACTCGCCAGACTCTCCTGAGTACCTTCCCGTCCCCTCACCTGACACCTCATCTCCTGAATGCCCCCCGGCTAAGCCCCTTCTAGCTCTCCTCTGAGGCCTTGACCCCACCCCCACCAAGGTCAGCCACCAGTCTTCAGAATGGGATAAGCATAAAGCCCCCAGAACAGCGAGCAGAGACCAGAAAAACACAAAAATGTTGTTTCCAGCTCTGGTGAGGAGCCAGAACATGAGGCAAAGAGAACCAGAAGCAGAAGGCCAGAGAAGGCAGATCAAGGGACCTGTGGTTATCACCAAGGGGAGCAGAGCACCGCTACCAGAGTCCAGGGTAGACGTAAGTCCCAGGCATGGCTGAAGGGCCTGCATCTAGGAGCACTGCAGAAGAAGGAAGGCATTTCAGGATAGGAGCAAACAAGCATTAGAGAGTGGCAATAGCAAGTCAGCTTGGATGAGCTGCTGAGCTAGGCCACACTGGATTCTGTGGGGCGGGGCAGGGCAGGGTACAGCCTGGCTGACAGGACTATCCAGCTGTGGCAGTGCCTGCTCCAAACTCCCCCTGAGCAGAGCTCTCTCAGAGCATTCATTGAGGGGAATCATGACCACATTTCATTAGCCTGCCTTCTCCCCAGTTTGAATACTAAAGGACAGGCCTGCCTGTCACCTCTGAACCTCTGGGGCCCAGCACAGGAATCTTGCATACAGAAGAGGCTCGAGAAATATTGACTGGGCTCTGGCAAGCTGGGAAGATGGACCCACTGGTGGTGGGAGCTGGAAGCCAGGTTGGACCATGTTTTCTGATACAAGGTGGGCTCTGTACAATATCCAGAACACCGGCTGAGGTGTTAGGAGCACTGCCTCTAGTCCCAGCTAAGTCACAAATAAGGATGTCACGTCCCCTAACCAGGCCTGCTTTCTCTTCTGTGGAATGAGAGCTGATATTCAATGCCTCTTCCAGTGACTCTCTTTTGGGCACTTTGGCGGGCCGCCATCTGAAGCCACAAGCTGACCTCTCCCCTGAGGCCTGCAGGCCAAGTCCTCCCCACACCACGAGGGGGAGCTCTAACACACTCCAGGCAAACGCCTTTCAAACCCGCTAACAAATCTGTGTGCACTGGAGTGGCAAGTGGACACTCGCTCACATCAGAAAGGCTGTTCCTACTCACAGAGCTCCAGGTGCCCGGCCACCAGGCACCCCACAAAGTGCCCTTGCACACACAGAGCTGAGGAAGGGAAGTCGGTGTTGAAGGGTGCCTGCAGCATCTTCAGTCTAGTGTGCCACTTCCTCAGTGCTGAAACAGGTCCCAGAGAAGGGGCCAAGGCCTGCTCCAGGAAGTATTTCCAGGGTCATTCCTTGGATTCCTGTTATGTCTAACTTCTGGGGAAGAAAAAGACTGACCAGTAGGATTTGAATCTTTTAATTTGGAAATGACCAGCTCTCTCCTGCCCACTCCTCTCTCCATAATATCCCTCTTTAGCCCAGCTTCCCCAGGAGTCAGATCTTAGAGCAGCAGGCCCACAAACAAGTCCCCGTGGTGCCTCAGGCCAGTCTCCATCTCTGTAGATCTGGGGTGGAGACAGTGGGCTGGGGAGCTAGTGAATCCAAGAGAGATGTATCTGAGCTCCACTGTCGCCTTGCTCTAGCTGTCGTCCTAGGGTCACTGCTGGTCCCCTGTGAAGATGGAGCCAGGCAGGAAAGGGCACGTCAGGCTGGAGCCACTGGGGCCGGGGGTGAAGGGCCCCTCCTCTCCCAGAGCTCAGGCACTCACCCTGAGTGGCCCTGGGCACGATCTCAGTCCGGTAGATCTTGAAGGCATCGTAGGCAAAGACGGAAACCAGGATGATGCCAAAAACCTGTGGAGCAGGAATGTGGATGGCACCACAAAGTCCATCCAGTATTAGGGAGCGAGAGTGGGGCGGTTGGGGCAAGGTGTGGGTCAGGCCACAGGAAGGGAAGTGAGTAGCACCAGCTAGAGGTCCTTGGGGAACTGGGGAGCTCTGGGGCATATGGACTCACAAAAGCAGCAATGGCCGCTCCATCCCGGGAGGTCACAGCTGCAAAGGAGACCACCAGGAAGATGATGATGGCGCTGATACAGCGGAGGAAGTCCTGGGGAGTCGAGGTTCCAGGTCAAAGGGAAGTCAGAGAGCAGGGGCATCCCCCTAAACTTTTCCAGGCTAGTCAGCACTTGGCCCTCGAGCACTGAATTCCTGCACAAAGACACCCTGGACTACATAAAGCACTTAAGAGAAAAAGAGGGAGGGGCTCACATGCTCTCCAGGGAAGGAATGCAGAGACCAGGACAGAAAGCCAGAGGCCTGGGCTACCGCTGACCCAGGCCCAGCAGCTGAGGCCAAGGGCAGGGCTGGGCTGGGACTGGGCCTGTGATGAGTGGGACAGCAGAACTAAAGGATGTGTGTCCTGCCCTGGCCAGTGTCGCTCAGCTGGTTGGAGTGTCTTCCTGTATACTAAAGCATAAAGCCCTGGTCGAAGACATTGATCCCTGGTTGAGCACATACGGGAGGCAGCCGATCGATGTTTCTCTCTCACATTGATGTTTGTCTCTCCCCTCTCTTTTTCTCTCTCTTTAAAATATCAATTAAAAAAAATTTTTTTTTAAATGTGTGTCCTCATTGTCAGTGACCCAGCAGCTTGGGGCAAAATCCTGTCTGGTTGAGGGACCCAGGAAAAGGGAAGAGGCTGAAGAGGAAAGGAAAACTCTGCATTCAGAGGAGAAAAGGGCAGGGGAGAGGGGCCTCACCAGACAGGGCCAGTTCAGCCGGTCGAAGCGCTGGTAGTACTGGGTGGCGTAGAGGAACAGGAAGGCGAGGGTGATGAAGAACTCGAGCAGCGCAGCGGCCATGTAGGCGGAGATGGAGGCCGTGAAGCAGATGAAGATGATGAAGGTCAGGGCCTGCGGGACCAAATGTGCGGACTTGTCAGGAAGGGACACAGGCAGGGCCTGGCCTTGGCCTTCTCCTCCTCAAGAGCACCCCGCCTGCTCCACCTCACCACTGTCTTCCCCTGGTGGCCGGAACCTCTTCCAGGACTTTTGCCCAGGGGCAGTCTCCAGCCTCCCACCTCTGCCAGCCCAGGCGGGTTAGAATCTTTTAATTTAGGGATGACCGGCCGCCACTTGCCCCTGCCCATCCCAGTAGCCCGGGCAGGTTGGTGACCTGCTGGGGCACAGAACACAGCACAACGCAGCCCCTGGGGTCCTCTGCCCCAGGAAGCAGCTCCTGCCCCATAATCCTGCCCCCTCTCCCAAGGCTTCAAGCTCCTCTAACAAGGCCCAGAGCCTGTGGCTCTGTGGCAAAGGACAGGGTTAGAAGACCAAGTGCCCACAGCGGGTTCCACGGCCTGGTGGCTCTGGCACTGCCGGGGGCACCTGCGCAGAAGACCTGCCTTTACACCAAGGCCTGCTGAGTGACTGCGGGCAGACCCTTTCCCAGGAACAGATGCTCCTGGGCAACAGACAGCAGTACAGTGGGGCTGCAGGCAGTCTCTGCTTTTAGGTAGTTGGGCTTCTTGGACACGCCAGGAAGCGGCCATCTTAGAGCCCGGGAAAGACAGGCTGGTGCTACCCCACCCCGTCCCTGAGTCTCGCACTCCCTCGATGTCCCAGAAAGCTGTCCTGTCTCCCTTCAACCCTCCCTGGCACGACGGAAACCAGCTGTCACTGCCTCCAGGAGAGAGGCAGCAGGCAGGGAGGGAGAAGATGACAAAGGGGCAGCTGGAGGGTAAAGGAGTTCCCAGAAAGCTGGGAAGGGGGGCGGTGGGCGGGGCGGGGGGACCAGGGCTAGGAGACAGGGGGGTGCCAGGTTGAGGTGGCTGCTGTTACCAGCTCAGTCTCCAGCAGGATGCCTTTGAGGGAGGAGAGGAAGGTCTTGTCCACAGCGAAGCCCTGGAGCCCCGCAGCTGCCCCCTCTTCAGGGGGCCGGTCCCGGCGATCCAGAGCACCGAGCATCTCCGCGGGCCCACCAGGCACAGCCCCTTGCTGCCAGCGGCCCAGGAAGGGAAACAGGAAGGTGGAAACCTGGCAGATGGGGAAGCAGACAAGAGAAAGAAGGCACTTGAGAAACCCAAAAGTGAAGCGTGCGGGCCTGCTGTGGGGTCCTAGGAGAAGGCAGCCGCCGGGGAGGCCTGCCCACATGGGCCTTCGCCCAGCTGCCCAGAGTGGCCCTGCTGGTGCCTGCACCGGCCCCCAGGAGGCACATGGGGAGGGGCGCGGAGGGAGGGGCTGTAGAGGAGTGGCCAGCCCTCCCGGACTTGGAGACGGGAGGAGGGGGAAGAGGAGGAGGGCTGTGGAGACCGGGAGGAGTTGGGAGTGGAGCCAAGAAACAGGCTGGACTAGGAACCCCCGAGGACCTGAGCCTGAAGAAGTTTGTGTCCCCTCCCCTAACCTTAACCCTTTTCCTCAGCCCCTCTTTTCTCCCTTTTCCCCTTAGGGAGGGTGGGAGCTGAGGCCCGGCCAGGCAGCGCCCCCAGGACCCAGCTGCAGCCGCCAAGAGGAAGGACAAAAGCAGATTGTTGGGGGGACAAGAGGGTGCTGTGTTCTTGCTGCAGTGCCTCAATGGGCCTCTGTCTCTCCAGCATGCCAGGGGGGTGGCCTGACCCCATCCCGGTGTTCAGGGTGGACCAGGGAGCCGGAGAAAGAGAGGGATGGGCAGCCACAGCGGAAACTCTGGAAAGAGCCGTAGGTGAGGGCTGACGGTGGGGAAGACAAGGCATGGGGCTGGGGACCACCAGATGCTCAGCCACCGGGATGCCAAAGACAAATTAAGCCACTTTGAAATGCAGATTATTTATTTGGGTAAGTCTCTCCATGCTCGATTACAGCCTCTTCCTCAGAGTCACCCATGTCAGAACACTAGTAACATGCTCACTGAGTGTTGAATGAATGAATGAATGAACGAATGAACGAACAAACGAACGAAGGAACAAATGAATGAAATGAGGGGTTCTTTGTTGGCAGGAGGGAAAATATCAAGAAAGTGCCTGTGCTTCACGAGGGCAGCTGGGGGTGGGGGAAAGGAAGAGACGGGCGGTGGCCTCCTGGAACCCGCAGAGCTTGGTGGGAGGAAATCAGGATGCCAGTTGCAGCAGCCACAGCAGCTGCCGCCCCCTTCGCTTCACCTGCACTTCCCATCCACTCCAAAAAGTGCAAAGTGTGTTTTCCTCTCAGGTCCCTATCCCGTCCCACGATCCTACTGCTCCAGATGATGCTTCGGAGGGGCTGAGCACGGGGCGCCCTGGCTCACCGTGGCACGTGCTTGTACACCCAGCTCCAGTGTTCCAACCGGAGGCCAGGCACGGGCAGCGTGACTAGGCCATCACACGGGGCCGCACACACACGCACGCAAAGGAGACGCGGTAGAGCCTGCGCTCCAGGCAGTAGCCATCGTGGGCACCCTGCTCCCCAGGGCACCGCCGGCGGTAGAAGACGGTCTGGTTGTGGTAGAGGAGCTCCGAGTTGCCCAGGGGGTCCATGTGGGAGCCTGTCCGTAGGCTGACGCAGTGTGGACACAGGCAACGGGCGTGATACAGGTCCTGAGGGAGACGGTCCATGTCCCTGTCCAACCTGTAGGGATGGTATGTGTCAGTCAGGCCTCGGAGGGAAGCTGGCTAGGCAGACAGGGCCTGGGCCAGAACAGGGAGGGCCCAGTGTGGGTGGAAATGCCAGAGGAAGGAAATGGTGTGGTTGGGAGGCCTGGCCTCTTGCCCTAGCTCTGGCACCCACTTGCTGGTGACTTTGAACCAGTCACCCCCTCCTCCCCAACGTGAGGGTCAGGATGGAAGCGTGGCTTTCCCGCCCTCCACCAGGCCAGCTCCACTTCCATCTGATGCACACACTGGCTCTGGCACGAGGTTTCTCTTTGTAACTGTTATTACATTTTAAGGTGTTTTCAATTATAAAAGTAAAAACACACACACTAGTGATCCAGTGCATGAAATTTGTGCACATTAAAAGGGAATTAATTAGAAGAAATAATTTAATATTGCTATTTGCCCTTTCTCTATAATAGAAGTGTCAGAGATGAAAGAAATTAGTAAAATGTATATGAAAATCTTCCTCCTGTCAGAGTCTGGGATGTACCACAGGAACCAATCAAATCCCTGCTCACCCACGTGTGCCTTGATATCACCTGAGACCCAGACCCAGCCGGCCCCACCCCCATTGGGCTAGATCCAGACCTGGCTGGCCCCATCCCCGTCAAGCCCTGCAGGGTGGGGGGCATAGCTTCAGGTCCCTTGGCCAGGTGCTGGGGGTGTGTGGCCTGAGGTCCCTGTACCGCCCCACCAGGCAGGGGGCACAGCCTCAGGTCCCCTGCCCCTGCCCAGCATCAAGATCCCTGCTGATTGCTCGGTAAGACTCCTTACGGGAACTTGGCCTCTGCTGTGGGCGCACCCATCTTGTGTTATGGAATCCCTGCCTCCACTGTAGGCACAGCCGTTTATGTTAGGGTGTGATGGTCAATTTGCATATTCCATCTTTATTGTATAAGATAGATAGATAGATAGATAGATAGATAGATAGATGACTAATAGGCTTATCTTCCAACCAGTCCTACTCCCTCAGAGGGCGGCAGTGTCAACCATTTCCTACACTTCCTCTGGACACTGTGTATGTATTATAAGCACATGTTAGAGGACACGGTGAGACTCATTTATTTATCCTGAAAGGATCTTGTGGACCAAAAGGTAAAAAGTAGGTGTTCCACAGGCCTGGGACTCTAGAAACCTAGCAAGAAATAGTTGCTAGGTTGTAAGACCATTCTCCATGCAGAAGCTGGGGCTCAGCTAGCGCTGCATTTTCCCAATGAGTACCCTGATAAGTACCTTGAGAGAGAAGGGGTCTGTGGCCAGATGAGTTTAATGGATTCTTTTCTGTAGACTTCTCTCAGACTTTAATGTGCTGAGTACATTGAGTCTCCAAGGGGGTCAGGGCTAAAGCAGCTTTCTTTACGCACACTTACTTGATATCATCACTTTTTTCTGAGGAGCAGCTTGTGGGAGGAGTGTTGCAAAGAACCCACTTTGGGAAAAGCCACCTGAGTGGTTATCAGGGACTCACAGCCTCCATACGACAGGCTGGACCCCAGCCGAGTTAGCCAACTGACCCCCAGCTTTCCCAGCCTTTCCCGGCCAGCCTTCTGAGACCACCACTTCAAAGCACGGTTACCAGCCTTCTGAGACCACCACTTCCTGGTATATTTATGACCCACTTACCTCCCAGTGCAGAACATTGCTATTGGGATGCTTCGCATCAGTATCATACTAAGATTCCCTGATATACTAGTCAAAAAAGCATGACCATTGTAGAGATGGAGGAAGAGCCAGAATAAAGGAGAGAACCAACGTTTTATGTACTCCATATAGGCTTTACATACATTATTTCATACATTCTGCACGTAAACCTATGCAGTATTATCTTATTGTACAGATGAAAAACACCTGAGTTTGAAACTTTGCGTAATTGGCCCGAGGTCACCCTATAAGAGTCAGAGTGAGGACCCAGACTAACCCCCCAAACTGTTATGGCCTCTCTGAGATACAAAGTAGCAGGTAGGTTGGAACTGAGTAGAACTCCCTTGGCCCCTCAGACACACCCCGCCTGGTATCCATGCAAGCATTCGGGAGGGGACAGCGGACTTACACGTATCGCCAGGGAGAGATGGACCTGCTGTTGAGGGGTCCATCTGCGCTGGCCCTGCAGGATGCCGGGTGGTGGCTATCAATCTCTGGAGGAGGTGTGAGCACAGTGTTCAGCTCTCCAGTGGAGTCCTGTTCTTTGTAGGGAAAGCATCTGGGCCAGTGAATGCAGTCCTTCTGAAGCCGAAGACTGAGGGTGTGGGTTCCCATGAGTATTGCTAAGAAGGCAACCACCTGTAGGAAAAGGCCAGTGAGAGAACTGCTCCAATCCAGTGTGGATGCCCCTCTCCCAGCTCTTCCCCAAGATCCTGGTTTCTTGCTCCACCTGACCCCCAGACCCAAACCTTGGAGCCCAGCCTCCCCCCCACACACACACAGACACATCCCGCGGCTGTCCTACTTGGCACCCTCCCCATCGAGCCTCCGCACACTCACCTGGTTCATGCCGACTGCCAGATGCTGCTCGCTGGGCGCAGTGCTTACAGGCTGACAGGCGGGGCCCTGTGGAAGCAGGCTGGCTGGAGCAGTGGAGAGTCCTGGTTTTATTTTCAGCAAACCTGTTTTGTTTATTCAAATTTATTTCCACTACCTTTTGGAGGGAGTAACCTGAGATTAAAAAACAAAACAAAACCAAAGAAAACCAGACAGTGTTTCCAGAACTGCTTGAAATATTCTACTCATGGAAGTTGTGATGAACAGCGCTGTAAGCCTGGAAACCTATTGGGTAAATTTTATTCTTTGTGTGAGGTCAAAGCAATAGTATGCTGCAATTCTGAGACTTTCAAAACTGGCATTATGGGAATTTTCCTCGTTGGATTGGTAGCCAGAATTAGGGAACATTATCTGGCCTCTCTTCAAGTGGCCTCATTGCCACGGTCTCTGCTGCTCCCATTCAGGTCTCATCTCCATCATTCCCTTTCTTCTCAGAAGTCCCCGTGATCAGCCACCTTAGTGAAATTTCCACTCTATCTCCTGTGACCATCAACCCTTCTGTTCTCTGGCCCCTCCCTCATCTTCAACAAACCCAACTTCTACAACCCCCATCATCGATGACTTCTCCCCATCATCCATTACCTGCTCCGGGGGATGCACATACCCCATTGCCCCCACCCCAACCCTTCCCCTGATTCCCATAGGATTATCAAAAAGCCCCCATCCCATCAGTTTGTTGGCTGGATGCACAGGGTCTGATGGAAGAAGCTGTGGGTGACTGTTCCCATTGCACAAATGAGAAGGTAAAGCCAAGAAGAGGAGGGGCCTTATAACTCCCTCAACTGAGACCCAACAGGACGTCCCAGTCCCAGGCACCAGACGGCCCCCACCCCCACTCACAAGGCCATTGGAACAAGGTCGTTGCAGGGATAGCTGCTGTTCTTAGGCCATGGCCCAGCCTTAGAGCCCTCAGTTGCATGGGCCACTGTCAGCTGGGGCAGGGGCTGGGGAGAGGAGGGATCGGGTGCTTCACAATGGCTCAAGCTAAAAAATAAATAAATAAATAACTTTTTTTTTTTAATGGCTCAAGCTGGGCCTGATCCCAAAGACACAGGTCAGCCAGGGACCATCCAGCCTGAGGGGCACTGAGCAGGCCATGCCCACTTCTCTCCATGCCTTTTCTCTTCATCCTTGCCCATTGACCCCTCTCAAACATCCTCCATGGCACCCCCATACACACACGCCTACACACCATGTATTGATATGTTCTCTAGCATGATGTTTCCTGATTTGCATGTGCTTTCCCTTAGAAAGTACTCTTCTGGTAACCAAGGACACCGGAAGTAAACAAAGAGAACCAGAAATAATGTTAACTATAGAGTGAGAAGGAATTCTTCAAATGCTTTAGGGCAGCGGTTTTCAGCCTTTTTCATCTCATGGTACACATAAACTAATTACTAAAATTCTGCAGCACACCAAAAAATATATCTTTTGCTAATATGACAGAAATAATAGGTATGATTTTGCCGAAACCGGTTTGGCTCAATGGATAGAGCGTCGGCTTGGGGACTGAAGGGTCCCGGGGTTCGATTCCGGTCAAGGGCATGTGCCTTGGTTGCGGGCATATCCCCAGTAGGGGGTGTGCAGGAGGCAGCTGGTCGATGACTCTCTCTCATCGATGTTTCTAGCTCTCTCTCTCTCCCTTCCTCTCTGTACAAAATCAATAAAATATTTAAAAAAAAAAAAAGAAAATATAAGAAATAATAGTATGATTTTGATTCATTCACACCCAACAGTTATTGTTGTGTTGCCTGTTGTCATTTTTCTATTTGACTAGTCAGATATTGCATGCCTTAATATTCTTGAGGCACACCAGTTGAAAAATCGCTCTTTGGGGCTGCTTTGCCCCAAAGCAGAGCAGTAATGAGGTCAGGGGGCACTTGGAGGATTGTGGGAAGCTGCTGTGGTGAAGGCCCTGGAACTAAGGGTGGCACAGGCTCAGAGGAAACAGGTGGTGGCTGGGAGAGCAGGGGCATATAGGAGAGCACTGACTCAGGAGGGCATCACCCTGCTCCCACTGCTCCTCTTCACCCCTGTGCTCCCAGACACCCTCATTTTCACTCTCTGCTGGCCTCTCAGTCCTGTGTGTGCCAGGATGGTGCCAAGGCCTGTAGGTGCATCAACTCATTTTACCTTCCAATAAAAAACAAGACGTGAAAACTATTCCCCTTATTATCTCATATTAAGATAATGAAACTGAGACCCAAAGAAACTGAGTAACCTCCTCAAGGTTACTCAGGAAGGGGCGACACTGGTTTTCCACTCCAGCCCTGACCAACTCTAACTCTAAGCTCCAGGCATGGAGGTACCACCCTGTGCTGCCCTTACTGGTTGCAAAGGGAAGGGAAGTCCCTTAATTAAGTGCTTTCCTACTCACCTGGGCTTGGACCCAGGTCTCACCTGCACCTGCCCAAGATCACAGGGCATTCCTGCCCACTCAGGCATTCAGCACTGCTGGCTGGGACCCACGGCTCCTGCTCCTAGTCTCCAGCCTCTGGGTGTTCCTGAGAAGCCTCCAACCCCAGGAAAGGCTCTGAGAGAGCAGTGCTCTTCCTGAAGACCTGACTCCTTAGGGGTCTCCCCAAAGCCAATCAGAGCCTCAGAGCCTGACATTGGCCCAGATCTCCTGACCTTGCCCACCCCAGCCCTGCCACGGTCCAGGAGAGGTGTTCAAAAGAGCTGGAAGTGATTCCAGCTGCTTATTACTTGCTGATGTTGCAAAAAACCCACATTGTTTGCTCAGGTCATTGACCTTCAGGAGAGATTTTTGGGGTGCCTCCGTAGCAGGACTTCCTCTGAAAAAAAGGCAGAGACAGGGTCCCTTCACCACACAGGGATGCTCAGGCCTGACAAAGAACATGTGCTCTGAGCCACCCCGTCCTACCCCCCCCCCCCCCCACACACACACCCCGCCCACCCCTGTTGGCTCAGCCTCCGTCCTTATCTCAGTAGTATCTCTGTGGGATTCCTTAGGGTGACTCCCTGGCATGAGAAACATTTTCCAGAGGTTTCCCTCCTGGGGTGACTAGTTTTGGAATCCCTGAGTCATGTCAGCTTCCAGGGAATCCCTGGAGGTGGGGGAGATGGGTGTGGCAGTGGGGAGAATGCTGAAGGTGGGAGCAAAGAAAAGTTCACCCCGCACCCAGGGTGCCTCCCAGTGTGTCTTCACCTGCCTGAGCCTGACCTGGAGACCCAGCCCTGTGCTCCTGGAAAGAGATAAGCGCCTGGCAGCAAAGGCAGGGAAGACGTGATGGAATACACCTCCTCCTTCGGCAGGGAAAGGCTCCTGGGGCTTGCAGAAAGCTAGAATATGACTGCCCTGCCCTTTCTCAGAAAGACATTCAAATCCTCACCTGCTAGTTTGAAGTCCAGACCCTGCCTCCGATCAGCTCTTGATCTTGGGCCCCCTCTGGTCCTTTCTCATCTGTAGAAGTGTGGTGGGGGTGGGGTGGGAGGTTTTAACCTGGATGGCCACAAAAGTGCCAACCAGCTTAGCTGTGCTGGACCTCAGCTCCTGAAATAGCTCATCCGCACTCACCTGATGTGAGGCAGGGGTACTGATGTTTAAGATGCTGAGATACCTCTGCTCCTGCTGATAAATATCAATAGATGCTCTCCTCAGCCCCGGGGCATCCCACTGTCACAACCTCCCTGCCGTCCTGCAGATAAAGGCCCTGCTCAGTAAGGCCTCCAGAACACTGCTGTATGTACTGCTTGGTAGGCGATAATGGTTCCAGTTGCTAATTATTTGTAGTGTCACCTTTAGTTACAAAGATGCTTAGGCTCGGAGCCTGCCTTCAAAGAGAACTCCATCCATCCTGGGACACACACAGAGAATTAGCATGCACAGGACAAGAAGCCCCACAACACCCTCTCCAGCTGGGTGCTGGTGACTCCCCATTCACCAGATACTTACTGAGCGCCTACTTTACACCAGGCACTATTTATTTTATTTTATTTTATTATTTTATTTTTTAAAGAGAGAAAGGGAGAAAGAGGTAGAAACCTCAATGAGGAGAGAGAATCATTGATTGGCTGCCTCCTGCATGCCCCCTACTGGAAGTCAAGCCCAAAACCCAGGCATGTGCCCTGACCTGAACCGTGACCTACTAGTTCAGCCACTGAGCCACAGTGGCCAGGCACCGGAAATAAATAAATAAATATATATATATGATTTTTTAGAGAGAGGGATAGAAACAGCATGAAAAAGAAACACCAATGATCAGCTGCCTCCTGACAGGGGATTGAGCCCACAACCTGGGCATGTGCCCTGTCTAGGAATTGAACCAGTGGCCTCTTGGTTCCTGGCTTGATGCTCAACCACTGAGCTACACCAGCCGGGCTAGGCACTATTTTAAATGGTAGGAATGCAGAGGAGTACAAGCCACATAAGGTCCCTGCCTCATGAAACTTCCACCTTAGGAGGAGACAGATGATAAATAAGGAAACAAGATAATTTCGGATAATAACCAATGCTATGAAGAAAATGAAATAGTATTATGAGATAGGAAATTATGGGGCAGGGGGTTGCCTTAATTTAGAAAGGTGGGGAAGGATGAATGGCCCAGGCAGAGGGAGGGGGGCATGCAGAGACCTGGAGGTGAGAAACAGCTGGTGTGTTTGAGAACCAGAAAAGACAGTGTAAAGGGAAAACAAAGGCTGTGGGGAGAGTGGGGTGCGATGAAGTGGAAGAGGGGGGTAGGGACCAGATCACATAGGCTGCCGTGGTGGAGCATTTGGATTTTATTCCAAGTTCAGTGGGGAGGTTCTGACTGGATTCAAGCATGATCTCAGTGATGTGAGTTTCTGAGAGCAGCACTCTGTCCTTGATATTCTGCTCGCCCCTCCTCTCCAAGGCTGGCATCCAATAACAATAATAGTTGCTTTTATCCAACATTTATACAGCATGGGCCAGGCACTGTTCTCGGGATTCTCTTAATCCTCATAACGAGTCAACGTTATCGGTTCCATTATTATCCAACACCACAGACAGGGAACCAGGGCTCCAAGAGGCCATGTAGCTTGCCAAGGTCGCCAGCTAGTGCTGGAACCAGGATTGGACCCCATGCAATCTGGATGCTGAGGAGCCCAAGGGAAGAACTGGGGGGATCCGTGAGCACCGGAGAAATTCTGAAGAGCAGGAGGAACAAGAGCAGGCCACTGAAATCCTAGGTTGGGATGAGAGGAAGACTAGCTGGTTGGTCCTGCTGGAAAGGGGAGAGAAGACTGGGACGCAGAAAGCCAGAGAGAGGGTCCCTTCCTATCTTCCTCTGAACATAGCAAAGACAACCTCAAAGCTGAGGGCCTGGCTGCCTCAGGCTGACCTCCCGGGTCTTAGCTGCCCAGCAGGCTGTGCTTTCTCCAGCCTAACCTGGGGCCCACAGCTCTCTCTGAACAAGTTAGAATCACCTTAAACCTCTGCGAAAGAGAGGGCAAGGGTGAGGCAGAAGGCTAGAGGAAAGGCTCCTCCTGCCCTCAGCAAAAACCCTTTCATCTTTCATGAAAGCACAGGCTGTAGGGAGTGCCAAGGTGAAGGGGAACAGCCATAGAGGGGAAGCCCGGTGCTGGGCACTTTACACATATTCACGCTTCACCCACGTCAATCAGAATTAGATTTTATTCCAAGTTCAGTGGGGAGGTACTGACTGGACCTCACATCACCATGACCATGCTTGAATCCTCAGATGAGGAACGGAGATCAGATGTCATAGAGTCTGACCTAGATCACACGGCTAATAAGCCTCAGGATTCTCTTCCACGTCTGACTGCCGCTGCTCAGTGCCAGGCACTCCAGGAGCAGTCTTATTCTCCTGCAGGTTTGCACTCTGCTGCCCCCACCGACATTTCCCCAGGTGCCGAGCCCACCTCCCAAACAACCATTTTGCCTGGTCCTATCGTTTCCCTCCTGCTTAGCCCTTTCTGATCTCCAGCTATTTCTCCTGTGCCGTGGGAGCATCAGGAACTATGTTTCCTGTCCACCCCAATTTGCCTTGCCAGTCCCCTGGGCATACAGTGACCCCCTGAGGGTCTGTGTTCCAGCTGCCAGGCCCCCAGGGCTGGGGTCTGTTGGAAGTTGGATCAGACTGGAGTTGGAATAGAGGAGCTCTCCCTTCAGACCCATCTGGAAATTTAAAAACTCCTCTACCAGCCTAAAAGAGTTGGAGTCTGTTCAGGATTCCCAGACCCATGCTCAGGTCTGCACTCCATCTCAGAGCCAAGCCCAGAACCAATATTGTCCATCCTCATGTTCACCTCAGAATCTCTCCCTAATCCCAATGTGGGTCCCACCCCTCCCCTCTGCAGAGGTATCTTCATAGGTACCCGGGCAGTAGGGAAGGGAAGGGGTGGTATTTTCAGAATACCAGTCAAAGCAGGTATCTCACCTCCTCCTCCCCTGGAAATG